TGAACTCTAGTGTTTGAAATTGAACTCTAGTGATATAGAGTTAAGTTCGGACTCTAAGAGATGCTTAGTTATGAGTTTCAGTGTATTGAGATAAGTGCTATTTATAGCATTTTCTCGCTATAAGATTTGTTCAGTGTCCTTGGAGTAGGACCATTCGTGACCCATCTCGAAAGAGAAAGGTTAGTACCGCGTGAATCTCTAGTGTATGAGATCACTCGAGAAATTAGAACCTCGGTCGTTGAGGACCGGGAGTGTCGTTTAGATGTCGCGTATTGGTTACTAAACAAACCCCATAGTTGGGAGAATCTAATGCGTATCACCGTCATAACTTTTGAGAGTGGCTAAGCCTCAAGAGGGATGATGGTTGATAAATCTCGTACGTTGGATCGAGCGCAAGTCCTGAAGACTAATGCATGGATGAAAGATGACGACGTCGTCCATAGGATGAGTAGATTGCTCCGATCGTGTGAATATCATGTGTGTTGACTGCGAGACACGCATTTGTAAAAGGTATGAATTTTTACTTAAGCATGGGGTTATGGCTCTATATGACTCGTGATGTTAAAATTGATGTTATGAAAAGCATACTTATATGATTGAACTTGACGATTATTGCACGCTGAAATTCTTTAAAACATGTTACGTGGACATCGTATGAATTTGTGAAAATTTGTTAAAATCATGTTAGGGCTGACTCTCGTATGTTGTTTATGCGCGCATGAGGTATATTGTGATCATATGTGGCTCGTTGATGCTATGTTCTTTAATATATGTCTTGTGTCGTATTTAATTGAAAAACTCCATGTGTTAGCCGCTGATTGTACCCAGTTTTTCGTAACCAAGAAGCTGTTTTCTGGTTAAGTGTCCTTCATGAATTTTGTAGTTCTTTGAGTTAGGTTTCTGTGAGTTTCGAAATTTCATAATTCGGAGTTAAATTGAATTTATTATAAATTTTTGAAGTTGAATTTGCAAGCAGTTTTTGAAATTTCGGGCAGAATTGTGAATCATGATGTTGGGCTATTTTGACAATCTAAATGTGATTATGTGAAAATATGATCAACATGAAACTTGTAGTAAATGTTATAAGCTCTCTCTGGGAGTTGAAATCATGTTAGTTGGGAATTCTGGTTGATTTTATATAAATTTTCAAAGATGAGGTTATGCCCAGAATTTTTGAAATAGTGGCAGTGTATATGACTGAAATGTATGTTTTAAAATGAGGCCCTTAACGTGGTCATTTGTAAAAATGCCCTTCTTGGAACATGTAGCAAATCAAGTTTAGTTTTTGTAGGTTTTAAGTTTGTATGATTCGGAGTTTTGTGGCATGAGATATTCCTGATTTAGTGACCTGCTGTAATTTAAAATTTATTTCGTTGGCAGATTTCTTGACCTAAATGTTTTATGCTGAAACTCGATTTTAAAGTTATTATTGGCTTAAGTGATCATCATGAAAGTTGTAGGTAATTGAGTTATCTATCTTGGAGTTTTTGAATTTCAGTAATATCATGTCTGTAGCTTCGATTATCATGCATACACTGAGAAACTGTCAAGCTGTATGTCTTCATTTATCCACTGCACCTATGTTTTGTATGTTTGTTGTATTATGTGCATTTAAATGATTTAATCTGCCAGAGTGTTTTTCATGAATGTGATAGAGACCTGAGTTAGGGATATTTTCTATGTGGTTTCATCATGATATGATATGTAAACTGAAAGCTACATGCATTTTAAATTCATCACGCATGCTGGAAATTGGTGCAATTCATGTTTAGGTTTCCAAATTGAGTTGTGAATTTCAAAAATTAGCTTTCATCAATTTTCATGTATATGTGCCCTATGTGACTTAATCTGATTAGTAGTATAATGTTAGCTGGAAACACTTGCGAGAGAAGCTTTACGCTAGACCTCGAAGTGTGAAAGCTATAGGCGATGTACGCGGATTAGACTCGTTTAGGACTACCGGCACGTTTAACTACCGGAGTAATAGCTATCGTGACGGCCGACACAGTTAGTCGGTAGAGTCAAACGAGCTAACCATTCTGACGTTTGGCGTTGACCGTCGAGTTAGAATTTTTCCTGGCAGTGATGCCAATGTTCGATCCCTTTTGGGGAAATTGTTGTTGTCAAACCCTTCTTCCCAGTTGAGTATCTAAGA